GACCCGGTTTGCAGAGGCCGGGCGAGGGCCGCTGCAGGCCGCGGGGGATCGACTGTGCGCTCGCTGGGGGCTGTTCACGCAGCCGGGTGGCTGGGGAGCGAACTGCTCAGTCCCCCGTTACGGGGACCCCCACCCGCCCCAGGGCAACACTTGTTCTCTAGGCCCAGGTGGGCTTCGGGAACAAAGCAGCTCGCTGGTCTGGTCGGTGGCGGGCGCCTCCCGGGTCCCTGCACTCTGCCGGAAGGAGCCTTCCCGGGGCCGGGCTGCAGCCGCTGGGGTCAGGACTGGTCTGAACACGGCCGTTTCAGTTTTAACGAGGGCTCGTGTACATTGACCTTAGTGACATTGTTTGAAACTTAAATTCGTAGCATCAAGACGTGTCAGTTTTATTGGTCAGCCTGTGAGATCGTTATTCTTTTATCACCTGGTATTCAGAGGTTTGAGCAGGCAAAGAAAGCACACACGGTTCTCTAAATTTTGAATTGTTTTCATTTTCTGAATCTTTGTTTTGAAATGAAGGCCCGGTTATTCATCAGGTGATCTAAGTCAGCTTAAAGAGCACTAGGAGTCGGCTGACCCCTGCCTTCGACCCCAACACTCCCACCTCCGCCAGTTGGCTGCACCTGGCTTTAACAAATCCATGTAGCTTCTCTGGGCCTCGAGTCAGTTGAAGGTCAAGTGAGTCAGTACCTGAGAAAGCTCCCGGAAAACCCGAACACTTGAGACCAGAACTTCTCAGCCAGGGATGGTTTTGTGCCCACAGGGGCCACTGGCAGTGTATGGCGACTTTTCTAGTGGTCTAAGACCTTGCAGAGGTGCTCCTGGCATTTAGAGGGTAGAGGCCAGGGACGCTGCTCAATATCCCACCCGTGCTCAGGGCGGCAGGAACAGTGAGATCAGCCTGCCCAGGTGCTCACAGTGCTAAGCGGGAGAAGCCCCTGCTCTAAACCAGGAGCCGCTGTTTATCCCAATGATGGTTCCCTTTGTTTCTGGCTTGACTCGGGGTTGACTGTCAGTGATTGTCGGTGCTTTTAGTTACAGCTACATCCTTCTCTAGTATCAGCCATAAACAATTTGGGATAACAGTTGACACCTTGTCCACTGGTGGCAAATCAGGCCCCTTCCCACGGCTGTCACATGAGTATGTCACAGTGCAGGAAACAGTGCGTTGTGGCTCAATATAATTTCACAACTACAGAAACACTGCCTTCAGAACACCAGACTCGAGTGTGAAAGTCTGAGGCTTCCAGGCTTTGCATGGGACTGTTCGATTCATTGGGTTGAAAGGAAACACATGCCGATTATATAATGGTTACTTACTAGCTATGCTGTAACTAAAACTACATCTCAGCATTTGAAAGGCGCAGGTTGGGCACCTAGGTGAGCACGCCTGGGCTAGCTCTACCAGCAGTAGATGAATGCCCTGGGTTTGCAGGATGTGGTGCCAGCCACAGTGACAGACAAGTGGAGGAGAAAGGGGTGTGGGTGAACACACCTTCCAGTGGGAGCTGCTACCCAGAGTACGTATCCCCCAGGACCGAGGTTCAAATCTGCTCCTAGTGCTTGCTGCCTGGCAGTAGAACCATGTGTCACTTTTTTTCGGAGGGTGGGGTGGGGTGAGTGGACAGGGTCTTGCTGTCTCTGTCTCCCAGCCGTCATGGCTCACTGCAGCCTCCACCTACCAGGCTCTAGCAATCCTCCCACCAGCCCCCAGAGTAGCTGGGACTGCAGGCTTGAGCCGCCACGCCTGGCTAATTTTTGTACTTTTTTTAGAGACAGGGTTTTGCCATGTTGTCCATGCTGGTCTCGAACTCTTGAACTCACGTCATCCACCCACCTCAGCCCCCAGAAGTGCTGGAGTTACAGGCATGAGCCACTGCACCCAGCACTCATGTCACTTGCTTACGTGGCTTGTGGATCTTAATTAAAGGTTGGTGTTCGAGGCAGAGACATTGTTGTTCTTGGTGTGGAGAAGAAGTCAGTGGCCAAACTGCAGGATGAAAGAACAGTGCGGAAGATCTGTGCCTTGGATGACAATGTCTGCATGGCCTTTGCAGGTACGCGTCGCTGGGGAGCGCTGTCTTACTCTCCAGAGTCTCAGCGAAGAACAGGGCTTTAGAGATTGACTCGGTGTGTGGGCTGTTGTGAGCCATATAAACTGAGTAAATGAAAATCATTTAAAAGAAATGAATTTGGACTTTTAAGTTGGCCAGTTTCTTTGGTGGCCTCTCTGCCATAGCGGGTGAAAGAGAAATGGCTAGATGGATGAAAACACTTCTGGCTGCTGTGCAATGTGACCTCCACTGTTGTTTTTCTGTATCAGTCAGTTACAATCTAGAGAAAAGCTGGACTTTTAGAGCTAACTGCATCTGTGGCATGGAGAGGACAGATCCACGTCCTGCCATCCCCAGCAGTAAAAAGGACCGCACTGGTGGATGCAGGCCCTGCCTCGGCATGTTCTCAGCGCTGTTTTGGTCTTGCTCAGTTCTCCTCTCAGCAGATCCAATCTGGGAAGATCTCAATTTATGTAATGAAATTAGGGATTAACTCAATTTCTAAGATTCCCAAGAGGACTCAGGTACCGTGTTTAAGTATGGTCCGAGGCACACAATTCTTCATATACAGACAGTCCCTGACTTAGTATGGTTCAATCTACAATGTTTTTAAAAATCCAGATTCTGCACAACAGCCAACAATTTTTTATTTACAATGGGTTTATGGGGTAGTCAATGCATTTTCAGCTGGGTATTTTCGACTTACGATGAGTTTAGCGGGATACCACCCCACTGCACATCGAGAAGCATCTGTACCCAATTTCTTAGAAGTTCCCAGGGGCTGACAGGTTCCACTGCCAGTCACTTAGAATAGCTTTGCTGCTGGTTTGGGGGTCTGTGGAAGGTTAAATGCTGCGTCATCGTGTCCGTCCCCCAGCCCGTAGTTTGTGCTCTCTCTACTCCAGCAGAAGCCTGTCTGCTCTCCCTGCAGGCCTCACCGCTGATGCAAGGATAGTCATCAACAGGGCCCGGGTGGAGTGCCAGAGCCACCGGCTCACTGTGGAGGACCCGGTCACTGTGGAGTACATCACCCGCTACATCGCCAGCCTGAAGCAGGTGGGTGCCTGCCTGATCGCATGCTCACTTCTGGCAGCAGGGCAGTCACTGCTCTGCCGTGGCAGGTCGTCCTGCCATGTCACTTCATGTGGATTTGCATGTCACTTCAGGTGAATCAGAACACTGATTTATTCCATGATCCTGATCTTGACTTGCACAAGTGTAACTTGACCTAGCTCACCAATTTGAGTAACACTGTTCTGTTCTCAGGTCCTGGAATGGGATATTCCAAATTCCTGTGTCTAGAGGGAAATGATAGCTTTTGTCTTGCCATCCTGAGTTACTAGTCACCAAGCAGTTGAAGGGGGCTAGAAGCCACCCTATGAGGAAATGCCATTAACGTGTAAGCAGAATACATGTCTACCAGTCAAAGTAACTTCCAGTAACCTGAGTTGTCCTCCATGGTACAATTCTGGTGCTAGGTGAGTCTTTCTAGGAGTGAAAATGCAGAAAAGGATGTTGAAAGCTGTTGGCTAATACCTCATTTCAACTGCTAATAACCTGAGAGGGGGCTTAGGCATGACTTAAAATGTTCATACTTTGACTAAGTACGGTTCTTTCCTCACATGCAATTTCTTAGTTGGATGGTACTGACCTGCTTCTTTTCTTGCTAGCGTTATACGCAGAGCAATGGGCGCAGGCCGTTTGGCATCTCTGCTCTTATTGTGGGTTTCGACTTTGATGGCACTCCTAGACTCTATCAGACTGACCCATCGGGCACATACCATGCCTGGAAGGTGAGTTCGTGACAAAACAAAGGGGCTTTGGACAATCTTGCCAGAAAAAGGCTTTGAGGGGTGGGAGGTCCTGGGCTTCCTGCTGTAGGCCCTGTATCAGTGAATGAGTCGGTTTAAGTTAACCTAGTCCTATGAGAGCAAGAAAAGTATTAAACGTTGCTGTATGGAAGAAAATCAAAGGGCAGCAAGCTGTAAGGATAGACCACATAAATTAAAATCCTCAGGCGGGTGTGGTGGTTCACGCCTGTAATCTCAGCACTTTGGGAGGCTGAGGCAGGTGGATCACCGGAGGTCAGGTGTTCGAGACCAGCGTGGCCAACATGGCAGAACCCTGTCTCCACTAAAAATACAAAAGAAATTAGCTGGGCATGGTGGCACATGCCTGTAATCCTGGCTACTCAGGAGGCTGAGGCAGGAAAATCGCTTGAACCCAGGAGGAAGAGGTTGCAGTGAGCCGAGATCACACCACTACATTCCAGCCTGGGCAACAAGAGCAAAACTCCATCTCAAAAAAAAAAAAAAAAAAAAAAAAAAAGAAAAATCTCCCATTGCCTCTTGATAATGGAATAAAAGGTATAATCCCATTCTTGGTAAGAATTAGCACCAATTCTAAAGAGCTCTTTGCAAAAGGAAGCCACAAGGCAGGGCCTGTGTCCAGGGCTGCTGTCCAGCACTCCAGCTTGCCTCCTGCCACTGTCACTGGCTGGGCGGCCCATGTGGGGCAGCCGTGTTCCAGGGCTGGCCCTGGGTTGTCATGCCCTATGCCACGTGACAACATACGTATCTGTTTTAGGCCAATGCCATAGGCCGGGGTGCCAAGTCAGTGCGCGAGTTCCTGGAGAAGAACTATACTGATGAAGCCATTGAAACAGATGATTTGACCATTAAGCTGGTGATCAAGGCGCTCCTGGAAGTAAGTTTGCATTTGGAATCCAGGCAAGGTGGTGAAGATACCACGTTTTGGTGGTGACTGGTAGGTAGATGGGCAGCAAGGAAAGTGGCAAGGATCCAACAGTAATGCCTAATGACTGCTATGTGCCAGGCACTGCTCTGGTCTATGGTGTATCCTAACTGCTGTGTTCCTTGAAATAGCCACGCAAGGTGTGATCATTAGTGCCTTTATCCAGCTGGGGCAGCCGAGGGTTGTGCAGGGGCACACAGCATGAGAACCAGAGGCAGGATGTGAACCCAGCTGTCCAGCTGTGGAATCTGTTCTCCTCATGCCATCACTAGGCCTTCCAGAGGCTTGAACTGTTGATAAAGTCGGGATTAGAGAACTGGAGATATGGTTGGGCTTTGTCGAGACCTTGAAGTGCTAGCAGGTGAAACCAGAGAGGGACTAGCTGGAAGGCCAGGCTAGAGTGTAGGCATCAGGATTCCTGGTGGTGACCGCTATGTCAAGGGGAGGGCCTCGAGCACAGCTGCTGTGCAATAGAGAGGAGTCCCAGTGCTGGGAGGCAGGAGGGTGTGCAGGCATCCCAAGTAGACTTCACAAATGCATTTAGGACAAAGACACAGGTTTTGGGGGGCTGAGACCTCCATTCCTGGGACTTGGGTTTGGGTACACACCTATTTAAGGTACTCCTGAGAGCTGCTTTTGTCTTGAATAGGGAAAGGTGGCTAATGCTCCTGTCTTCTATCCCTTCAAGGTGGTTCAGTCAGGTGGCAAAAACATTGAACTTGCTGTCATGAGGCGAGATCAACCCCTCAAGGTAATCACCAAGTTTGTCTGCTTTCTTTACCTGTGAGTTTTCTCCATGATCAGGGCAGTACCAGTTCAGAAGGAAACATCATGGGGTCGTTCTGTGGTTTTAACATTAGGAAAATGTTTTTCTGAGGCTCCCCATACGTCAAAGAGAAGATTCCCATCTTCCTCTATTAGATGGTCCACGCATGTTCTCTGGGCATGCTGAGCAGCTGCCAGTCAGATCTGCTGCTGCTTGTTAATACTTGTCTAGGTCAGGCCAGCATCCTCTTGTTTTCCTTGAGGTCCCTCTCCAAAGAGGCTGTATGAGCAGCAGTGCCAAAGCCTGGCTACCCTCCCCAGAAGAGGGCGCTGGTTCCTTGGCACCTTGTTTGGCTTAGGTAACCGTGAAGTTTTTTTTGATAGATTTTAAATCCTGAAGAAATTGAGAAGTATGTTGCTGAAATTGAAAAAGAAAAAGAAGAAAACGAAAAGAAGAAACAAAAGAAAGCATCATGATGAATAAAATGTCTTTGCTTGTAATTTTTAAATTCAAATCAATCATGGATGAGTCTCAATGATGTGTAGGCCTTTCCATTCCATTTATTCACACTGAGTGTCCTACAATAAACTTCCGTATTTTTTAACCTTTTTTTTTCTTTAAGAGAATGTGTATCTTTAGGTGCAATCATAGTATTCCTCTCATCTCTCACCCTTCTTTTTCAACCCTGAGCTGCCGTAAGTCTGAGCTTTCCTTTCTGTTCCTTGTGGCTAAGACAGCAAGCCAGTGTGAGACAGAGATTCCTCCCTTGGAAAATCAGCTGCTGCCCTGGGTGCTGCAGAGAAACCTGGCCTTCAGCAGACCCGTTTCTCTGTTGTAGACACAGAATGACTTCCATTTGCTTTTAGACCTTCATTCTAGTCCCCTAATGAATGTATAATGTCAAGGACACAAACACAGGTAGCCCTGGGTTAATTCTGTAGAGCAGCAGCTTTGTTCAAAGCAGCTTTCCATGTCTGACTTTCATAGACCACATCTTGATGTCTGCTCCCTACTTTCTCTTGAAGACTGTTCTGGCTATTCTCTGCCCTTTCTTGCATTTTGGCTTCTAGTCCAGCAGCAGTTGAAGGCTTTTGTGTCCTCGGGTCACCCCTTTTCTCCCATGCTACCACTTGCTCTGGTCCTTGGTTTTGGGCACATACCTTCTAAAAAGGAGTAAAGGGGCCCAGATACATTTTGAGCTCAGCATAAAATGTACAATTGTCAAAACAATTAACATTTTAACAGCAAGGTCAGGTGGTATGCGATGACCTGACTACCTTGAGATTCTCTGGGAGGCAATACCTGTTTCACCAAGTCATCTAGCCGGGTGAGGACTGTGGCCACCAGTATCTGGCACACATAACAGAAGATTTATTTTTCTGTTGGTCAAGGATATCCATTATCCCCACCCAATGGCCACAGGCAGGTACTGAAAGGAGAACTCATGCAGCTCATGTGTCTCCTCATCCTCTCTGAGGACCACTTTGAAGGTCACCTGGAAACCCATTAGACTGAAATGGGATGCTCTGAGCCTCGAACCAGCCGTATCTTTGTTTTTCTGCATGGGTCCAGGGTGCAGCTCGCTCATGGCTGTGTAACCTGCTCTACGGTGCCTGAGAACATCAACGTTCCTGAGCTGGGGAGCTTGGAGGCAGCAGGAAGGTGGCAAAGGGGCCACTGCTTGATACAGGCGTTATCTGTGAACTGGGTTTTTAAAAGGACTTTGTATCC